CCCCACACTTACATTCTGCTCTTCTTCACTCATGAAAACTCGTCGCATTGTTCTGATATCCATCGTATCACATGCCTTTTCTAAATCCATAAATGTGATGAATGGTTCCTAATCCTTATCTAAGTATTGTTTACATATATAGCTCAATGTAAATACTTGGTCTACTCATCCTCTACCCTTCCTAAATCTCCCTTATTCGTCTGTAATAATAATTTCTTACCCCAAACTTTTTCAAAAATAATTTACTGTTCACTTTACCTGTCACAATACATAAGCATTCTTGCTGCAGAATTTTCTCATTTCACACACCATAGTCCAACAAGACTAAGAAATGTGATACAGACATTCTGGAGCAACTCGAGCTTCAGAACCTACCATTTCTTAAGGTAGACACTTATGTCCTTGGCTGTGGTCAAGACATTATTCTTGTAGTGTAGCTAAATTAACATTGACAGCTGAGAGCTTTTATCCTCAGTATATACTATAGCTGGACAACGTTTACATGTATGAGAATTAGTCCCTACACCACAACAAAGCAGAAATTGTTGGTGTTTTGACAACCCAGGTAAATATTGTAGGTTAACCCTTTGAGGGTCGACAGGCCCTCTCCGAAACTCGTTCTCAGGGTCGGCCAAATTTAAAAAAAAAAAAAAATTATTTTCTCTTATGAAAAGATAGAGAATCTTTTCCCGATCATAACGACACCAAAAGTTTGAAATTTGATAGAAAACTTACGGAATTATGCTCTCGCAAAGTTAGCGGTCTCGGCGATGTTTACGGATCGGCGATTTTGCCCACTTTGAGCCCCATTTTCGGCCAATTTCACTGTACTAGTCGACAAAAAACATGAATATTTCGCTAGAACTCCATTTTTTCTATCGAATGGGTGCAAGAAACCACCCATTTATAAATTCAACTATCCAGTACAGTGGTCAGAATTTAGCAATTTTGCCAATTTCACACAAATTTCAAAAGATGCCCCAAATTTCGGAATAGGTCCAGAATAAACAAGAAAGACATTCCTGGGACTAAAATGACATTTCCTCTAGTCATTAGTCACGTCTCAAGGCCCCTCTCATATTCTTTTGCTTTCCACTTTGAATTTTTATTCTCACAAAAAATATAAGATTACTGTTGTGCAGACTACTGCATTAGTGTAAAAAATGGTATAAATATTATTGGTGCACTTGTGAAAGAATATTAGACTCACCAGTTGACGTGTATTGCACGCTTGGCACGATTTGTTTACTTTTGAAGTTTGGTAAAAATCGAACATTTCTGCTACTTTGAGCTCAATTTCAAGGCACCTTTCATTGTAAAACCAGTCAAAATCATCTCAATTTCAGTAATATGTCTTCCATTCTATAAAATGAGACCAAGAAAACTAGAATACAACAATAAATACTATACGAAAATACACTGCAAAGTCGCTGATTTATTAAAAAAAATGGAAAAAGTTTTTTTTTTCTCATTATGCACCGTGTGCTGCAGGATTTTTTTTAGACTGTGCACACTGACCACATAGACCCATTCTTTCATATGAAGGCCTACCAGCTTTCTCCCACTAGATTTGAGGTCGCTAGAATTTATGAGTACTAGTACGTCAAAAACCCCTACGCGTAAGACGTACTAGTACGACGAAAACCCTCAAAGGGTTAATGGCCGAATTCCCAGTCTGTGGTACAGGTGACCATAACAGTCCATCTTGCAGCTACATCCCACTTGCCTTTGTTACAGAGAGGCTAGCCCTAGATATTCTCAACATTGTCAAGTTTTCTTACAAGAAAGGGAGATTTGATGTCTTACGGAGTAAACACAAAAACATTGTTTTCTGTTGGGTTCCTGGACATGTTGGATGTTTAGGGACTCAGCCTGAGAACACTGGAAGGATAGGAGGGACATTACAAATAAAATACTTAAAGGAATTGACAAGGTGGATAAAGACACAAATTTCCAGAGATGTGACACATCAGCAAAGGGTCACAACTGGAAGCTGAAAACTCAGATGAGTCGCAAGGATATTAGGAAGTATTTCTTAAGCCTTTAGAGTTGTCAGACAGTAGAACAATCTGGAGGGTGATGTAGTGGAGGCAGGATCCATACATAGCTTTAAGAAGAGGTATAATAAAGCTCATGGAGCAGGGAGAGAGTGGACCTAGTAGCAGCCAGTGAAGAAGCAGGGGCAGGAGCTATGACTTGTTCCCTGCAACCACAATTAGGCGAGTGCACATCTTGCATGTATCTCATGGAAAAATGCTTGCAACCGTCTTGTGAGAATTGCTAACTTACGCTATCAGTTCGCCATCTCAATAGATTGTCTTGTTTATCAGTGTTCATGCAGAATTTACTACCAACATCTTCACTTGCCCAACACACTTACTTTATCTGACTTCACTGAAAGTCCCACCTGTGACTCAGACTTCCTCTTGACTTTTTATCAGAAACTAACTTATTACTCCAACTTTGGTTACATTTTTTCTTTAGGACTCCTAACTTCCCTTGCTAATTACCTCTTGCCCAGCCCTACCCCACACTGGTCTTTGACCCTCATGTATTCCTCCTTTAGCACATCCCATCATGCAGCTCTGTACGACCCTTTTGGGTTTATTGCATAGTTTGATTATTATTATTTTTCTTGGCACTCCCCTACACTAGACTGTCTCTTTGATGCCATTATCAATATCCGATAAAAAGATTGGACATGAAGCGATAACACAGAAGAGAGAGAAATCGTATGGTACACATCTACAAGCAGTTGGTGGTAGAGTGAATGGGAGGGTATAAATAAAGCTAGGTCAACCATGAAGCAAAGGAGGCCTAGGGTGAGTGGGAGGGGAACTGGCCTGCCTATGCCACCACAATGACTGGCCTTGTCAGAATGATAGTGGAAATGGGTAGAAGCACTGCAAATAGTAGTACCCTTTGAGGCAACAGGTGGAAATAGACAGAAGCACAGCACAGAGACAGTAAGGGTGATGGTCTACTGCAGGGGCTCTTAACCTCTTTATTATTACAGACCCCATTGGACTGCTGAATGTTTCTATACCCCTTTTGCCAGACTGTCAAAATCACCACCACCAGTCCTGTTAGGTACCAGTATGATTACAAAAAGTGCTTGGTTTTATTTTACATACTGATAGCTCGGAACAGAACAGCCAAAAGAAATTCACAAGGATTTTATCATTTTTTTTCCAACAAACCAGCCGTATCCCACCAAGGCAGGGTGGCCCAAAAAGAAAAACGAAAGTTTCTCTTTTTAAATTTAGTAATTTATACAAGAGAAGGGGTTACTAGCCCCTTGCCCCCAGCATGATTTTATCATTTATGTATAGAAAAATGGCAAATTGTTGAGAGATCGAATCCCATATACCATCATTTGGTTTCCAACACCCTCCCCCCAGAGGTATGTATACCCCCAGTTAAGAACCCCTGGTCTACTGTATCCATTTGTGGGTTGCCTTATTTGCATAATAAAATTCTGCAAATAAGGAACCTATAAATTTAGGGTGTTGATTGTGAATTATTACTTGAACGTAGCCTAGTCCTTTCAGGATGCCATTAAACTTTTTTTTTTTTTTTTACAGTTAAATTTACAGGCAAATAGCTGTTGTTCTGCCTTGGTTCATTTCAAACTTCAGTACTGAGTCTGGTCTGCTTTCTTTCTTCTTTCTTTCAACACACTGGCCGTATCCCACCGAGGCAGGGTGGCCCAAAAGAAAAAACCAAAGTTTCTCCTTTCAAATTTAGTAATATACACAGGAGAAGGGGTTACTAGCCCCTTGCTCCCGGCATTTTAGTCGCCTCTTACAACACGCATGGCTTACGGAGGAAGAATTCTGTTCCACTACCCCATGGAGATAAGAGGAAATGAACAAGAACTAGAAAGAAAATCGAAGAAAACCCAGAGGGGTATGTATATATACGCTTGTACATGTATGTGTAGTGTGACCTGAGTGTAAGTAGAAGTAGCAAGACGTACCTGAAATTTTGCATGTTCATGAGACAGAAAAAAGGACACCAACAATCCTACCATCATGTAAAACAATTACAGACTTTCGTGTTACACTCACTTGGCAGGACGGTAGTACCTCCCTGGGCGGTTGCTGTCTACCAACCTACTACCTAGGTCTGGTCTGCTTTCACCTTCTCTAAATCATATGACCCTCTAAAATGCCACCCTCAACATTCTAACACTTCCCTACCTATTTATTCCTGGTGAACAGGGTGGTGATGGGGTTTGAATTTGTCTGGAATAAGGGTGTGTGTTCAAAGTATCCATAGCAGTTAATTTTTATAGTATCAGTATCAGGTGCCAGCCAACTTGGATGTTGGCATCTTCTAAAATTTTGGTATCCCCATCCTAGTGTGGTAAAGTATCTCCTAATACAGGTGTTAGTCATGTGATGACCTGCTCTGATTAAACACTTTCTAGCATACTGGTATTAGGCATCCATTCTACTTAAAATAAAAATCAATGTTCTACTGTAACATACAGTATTTGTCCAGAGGCAGTACCAGAATTTTGTTCTACTGCAGCATCTCTCTCTAGGGCAGGGGTCAGAATCTCTGTGCTGGGGAGAGTTTAGGGGTTGCTGTCTGTTTGGAAGGGGTAGGCTTAGAAATAGTACATTCGTTTAAAATTTAAGATACTGTTTGTGAATCTACAATTTGATAGTCTGTAATGGATCTCAGCAAGGAAAAAGTAGTTTTAATTCTTGTACAAATGCAATGTATCAATGATTTTTGGAATCAAGACGGAACCAAAGCAGATTACAGGCAGCTGTGCCAACTCATTCATCTTGAACTGTATTTGCCACAAAGAGGGAAACTTGATATCAGGCATTTCTGTTTATTGGAATACCAGATATAACCTGTTTTACTGAATATTAATTTGATGTCGGTCATTTTATTGAATACAATAATTTTCTTATAACATTTGTAAATATGTCTTTGTATATCTCAAGCAGATTGGATTACCTTAAAAAGGTTGTCTTCATCAGTATTCTTTATTTCAGGACACTGATGATGTTCCAATGATTTTGGTTGGCAACAAGTGTGACTTGGAAGATGAACGCGTAGTGGGTAAAGATCAGGGCCTGAACTTGGCAAAATCTTTCTCCTGTGCTTTCCTAGAGTCTTCTGCTAAGGCTAAGATCAATGTTAATGAGATCTTTTATGACCTGGTTCGGCAGATCAACCGAAAGTCCCCAGAAAAAAGTGCGAAGAGGCCTGGGGGCCGTAAACCATGTTGCCTGTTATAAGGTTGAGTGTTCTTTCATATTAAAAATAGATAAAGAATGTTTGGATGTTACGCCTTCATCCTCTCAGGTGTAAATTTGGTTTTGTTCTATTGCTAAGGCATGCAACAATGTAATCATTCCTAGGGACTTTTAGGTGTACTTATTGTGTCATCAGTGAAGGAGGTGCCATTGAGAAGCAGTGGCTTTAAGTGATTAAAGCATAATTTCTTAGTTGTGTAGAAAATGCTGTTGAATGTTTTTTTGTTGACTGACAGACTTAATTTGGGGGGGGGGGGATATGCATATCTTGCCAATAGAAATTTTGAAAAAAAAAAAAAAAAGGCTGGTGCCACACTTATGAATTTAATGTTTTGCACACCATGATAGGGTTTGTATAAACTTTACATGTAGGGGAATTTCCCATGAAAATATGGAGGGTTCCCGTGTTGGAAAATGTGCTCAAACTAATTTGTTGCTTTAGAGCAGAGTCATATTATTCAGACGTTTCCTGACTGTGGCTGGTAGTACAACACACTGTTTATGAAATATTTGACGTGCAAGAATGTGATGTAGGCATAACTCCTGTTAATAATATTTTGTTACTCCTTTGTCTCGTGATTTAGAAGATAAACTGAATAATCATGATTTTTCCAAAGTTTCACTAGTCTATTTTTTCTAGCACAAAATTATAGAATATAGCTATAACTAACATGGAAAGAATTGATTTTGTTTTTACCTGAGAGAGACAAATTCCACTATCCATCCTCATTGTACCATTTCATAACATTTGTAAAATATGCATTACAGGCATACTTTGAAGTTTGTACTAGGCCTCTAAACCTGATGAATTCTTGATTTGTTAATTTGAATTCATGAGGAATATTTTGTACCTTTCAGTAGCTTGTAGTTTGTTACCCACGTAAGTTGCTTATTAAGGGACCCAAGAGGCGGGCATCGGGTAGCAGGAGGAAATATTGCAAAGGGGTGAGGAGAACATATCAATGAAGCTAGTTTGTTTTAACAAAAGAATTGTTACTGATCTAACTTCCTGTACTTGACCAATACTTGTTATAATGAATATTGTGCCAGAATAAGCTTTGGTGAAGTCTTAATTCAGGATTTGCTACTTTCTTGTAATTTCAAAAGTATGAATATGTATCCAGAGGAATTTGTTGGACATTGTTTTCACAGTCTTGTGTAAATCTTTCAGTGTTGCATCCTGATAATGCCTGCAGTTTGATGTGGTGTTGTGTGCTAATTGTCAACTTAATTTCTATTCTGCTGTCAACTAATAGATTTATATATATATAAAAAATGGATATGGATAATGTTTGCCCGAAAGAAGGGCACATGTGTACATACCTTACTCTGTATTGTGATGCTAATAACCAGATGATATGAATCTAACTACATAGCTCCCCATAAATGAGGCCTAGGAGATCTAGTGATTTAAGGACAGCAGAAGCTCCATTTTGAATTTTAAATGGTATTCACCATCACCACTGGGCCACTCACCACCTGTCTCCACAACAAACTGCTCCTCTTCAATGATGACTGTTGCAATGAAATGCATCATGATCATAATATTGCAGTTTACCAATGACTATTAGTATCATACACATTGTTTTCTACTGAATTTAATGCCGCTCTTTATCATATAAGAATATAGGTTCTAAAAAAAATAACCCTAGAGATTTTGATATACTGTATGTAAGGATTTTAAGTTCATAACATATATGCATTGTTAATCAGGTAAATCTAGGGTCATTTTAAGATTAAATTGGCTAGTACTGTAATCTATCAGAATATTAGCAGCTTTATTTAATATTTGATAAAGCTTACTACAGTACTATATTTGTTTTCAACCTGATAATGTGAAATATATATCGTGTACATTGTTCTTCTGACTTTAAATTTCTCACCTGTTTGCTACAATTTCTAATATTGAACATGACTTAAAATTTGCAGGAATGATATTGAAATGTGGCTATGTTGCAGAATGTGATGGTCACATTTCCTTTACCTTGTCAATTATATATGTTCACTTTTACATTACTAGTGCTGTGGGCAGGGATAGATCTACTGTGAAACTAGTGAAGCTTAAGCTTCAGGGCCCCTAATCACGGAGGTGCCCCAGAAGCGACTTTAATCCACATAGCTTAAAAATTTTAGGCCTACTATATGAGAAGGGATTTTTAAAAAATAATAATGTAGTATAATTGAATAGGAGAGAGGGAGATCACTTCCCAGTAAAAGTAGGTCTTAGACAGGGATGTGTAATGTCACCATGGTTGTTTAACATATTTATAGATGGGGTTGTAAAAGAAGTAAATGCTAGGGTGTTGGGGAGAGGGGTGGGATTAAATTATGGGGAATCAAATACAAAATGGGAGTTGACACAGTTACTTTTTGCTGATGATAGTGTGCTTTTGGGAGATTCTAAAGAAAAGTTGCAAAGATTAGTGGATGAGTTGGGGTGTGTAAAGGTAGAAAGTTGAAAGTGAACATAGATAAGAGTAGGTGATGAGGGGTGTCAGATGATTTAGATAAAAAAAAACATTGGATATCACATTGGAGGGAGGGAGTATGGAAAAAGTAAATATGTTCAGATATTTGGGAGTTGACTTGTCACCAAATGGGTTTATGAAGGATGAGGTTAACCATAGAATTGATGAAGGAAAAAAGGAGAGTGGTGCTTTGAGGTGTCTTTGGAGACCAAAAAAAAAAACATGGAGTATAGTGGTACCAACACTTGTATGGGTGTGAAGCATGGTAATAAATGCTGCAGCAAGGAGGCAGCTGGAGGCAGTAGAGATGTGTCTGAAGGGCAATGTGTGGTGTAAATATTATGCAGAGAATTCATAGTGTGGAAATTAGGAGTACGTGTGGAGTTACTGAAAGTACATATTAGTCAAGAGGGCTAAAGAGTGGTTAAGGTGGTTTGGTCATTTAGAGAGAGTGGAACGAAGAATGACTAGAGAGCACATAAATCTGTAGGGAAAGGAAGGTGGGGTAGGGGTCGTCCTAGGAAAAGTTGGAGGGAGGGGGTGAAGGAGGTTTTGTGGGCAAGGGGCTTGAACTTCGAGCAAGCGTGTTAGGAGTGAATGGAAACGAATGGTTTTTGGGACCTGACAAGCTGTTGGAGTGTGAGCAGGGTAATATTTTCTAAAGGGATTCAGGGAAACTGGTTAACTGGACTTGAGCCCTGGAGTGGGAAATACAATGTCTGTACTTTAAAGGAGGGATTTGGGATATTGGCTGTTTGGAGGGTCACCTAAACTCGTATCTAAGTGCCTTTGCAAAGACTGATTATGTATGGATGATAGTAAAAGTGTTGAACGATAATGAAAATTTTTTCCTTTTCTTTTTGGGCTTTTCTTTCTTTTTGAGTCACCCTGCCTCGGTGGGAAATGGCCGACACGTTAAAAAGAAAATTCAGTACAAAATAATAATTTAAAATATAAATTAAAAGGTTATTATAGTATCATGTAGGCTAGCTGTTGCTGGTTGTGAAGGGGCTCCCATAATAGTTCAAGCTTCAGGGCCCTGAAAATGTAGGTCTGCCACTGGCTGTGGGCAGTAACTATTTTAAGGTATAGGGTGTTAAGCTTTAATAGATATGGGCTGTACAGTCTAGAGCTTCCTGATCATGCACAACAATCACGTCTCCTATAATCTGTTGGTCTTTCTAGAATTTAACCCTTCAGAGATGGCACCTTGATACTGGTGAAGGGTTCTTGATCTAAGAAATTAGGTACCATCCCCTTCCTTGGATCAAACCTGATTACCCAGGCACTATGACCCATGGGTTTAGCATTCCCTTGCGAATATAATCATAATCTAGACTTGACAAGTCAAAAAGTGGAGCCATTATAAAGGAAAAAAAATTGTGATGGTTTGCTAGTCTGGAAAACGGTAGCAAATATTAAGAAGTCAAAATATAATGTTTGAGACTGATTATGAAGGTGAGTTACCCGTGCTACAAAGCCTTTGAAAGTTCCTTGCATATATGTAGCTAGGCAGGTAGTAGATTCGCCGGTACAGTGGAACCTCGACTTACAAGCTTAATCCGTCCTGTGACCTAGCTCGTAACTCAATTTGCTCGTATATCAAATCAATTTCCTCATTTAAATTAATTGAAATGCCATTGATCGCCTGGCCTGGGCTTTTTCCAAGAGGTGGACTGGCCTTGGCTCCCTGTCATGGGAGTGTCTCAGACACGCAATGTCTGCCATGGGAGTGCATGCATATATAATACTCTTGGCCCCTCGAAAGGTACCTTGATGTCAAGTGTGGTATTTAATTCAAATAATTGGACCTAGCCTCTTCCTTGAATCTCTGTGGTGCCTTGATGTCAGTGAAGGGCTCTTGATCCAGGAAATTTGAACTATCATCTACTTGGATTTTAGCACTTATTATTATAATCTACTTGGATCAATCTTCATTGCCTCCCATTCCTCATTCCCCAAGTGCAGTATAACCCCTATGGGTTTAGTGCTTTCCCATGAATGTAATAATATACTTGGATCATACTTGATTGCCTCCCATTCTCCAGGCCATTTAGAAACTATAGATTTAGTGCTTACCCATGATTATAGTATTACCCTTGGAGTTGGTAACCTTTTGCAATAGGTGGGGTGATTTTTAACAATGGCAGGACTGATCTCTCAGAGGTTTTTCTACACACCCCTGATTTTGGATGATTTTAATGGGATGATGAGGTTTGAATAACTTTGCTAAGACCTGCACCCTCTACCATATTTGGTGTAAGTAGAGGGGATATTTTATCAAAAATTTCTTTCAAGAGAACTAGTGACTTCACAGTTTCCCAACAGTTTGACTGCCAATGACTGATTCTGAAGTGATGACTAGAGTGCAACTTTAGTTCTATTTTAAGGTTTTTACTTCCCCTCAAAGGGCTACTTTGCTGTGATGAAGGGACTTTTGATCTGAAGACTTCTCTTTCTCTTTTCCCCTTCCTCTCCTTTTGGCCTAATTAGTAGGAATATTTCCCTTCAGTGGAGGTGCCTTGATGCAAGGAATTGGAACTTCCTCCCACTTCCTTATAAAACCTGATTGTCTCCTATCCCAGGGGCTGTATGACCTCAATAAGTTTAGTGGTTCCCCCAAAGGGCCCTCCAGCAGCAACAATCTGGTTGATCAGGCAAGCACGGGACAAGCCTAGCCCATGGCTGATTATTATTATTATCAAGGGGAAGCGCTAAACCCAGAGGATTATACAGCGCCTGGGGGGGGGGGATGTGGAAGGCATTCAGACTTAATTCGGGGAACTGGAGCACAGATCCAATTCCCTAAATCAAGAGCCCCTCACCAACATCAAGGAACCTTCCTTGAGGGGAGCCCATGGCTGAGCTCTGAGAGTAGTTAAACACTCAAAACTCTTCAAATGTGTATATACAAGTATGTTAATAATAATGGATATTTCTCTGAAATCTAGCTCCCAGAGAAAAGAAAAAAGAATCACTGTTTACCTTATTCTAATGTAACTTTCCCTGGTAGTGGTGTAGTGGTTGTCACTCCACTCCATGGAAATTGGATTATCCTACAGTAGTGTGCATATTAATTGGGATAATGATGAAATAAGACCTTTACTTGGAAAATTAATATTTATTTGAAAAATATACGGCAAGAGTTTTGACTACCCTTTGCTTTTATAAGCATTCCTATTCTCTTTGGCATAGAAATAACTTGCCAAAATGTTGAACACATTTTGGCAAGTTATTTGTCATGGTACCAATCCTAATGACAGCAGCAATTAGCTTCTCCACAATTGAGCAGTCTTGTTTTGTGATCCTTCATTTGGTCATTGCCCACAGATTCTCAATTGGGTTGAGGTCAGGAGAGTTTCCAGGCCAATTTAGAAACCTTAGCCCACTCTTCAAAGAATGTCAGCATTTTTCTGAAAGTGTGACATGGAGCCAGATCCTGCTGGAAAATGCCTTCTCCATCAGGAAAATCTATCCATAATGGGAAACAAATGAGTTGCCAGTATTGCATTGTATTTGTCACCATTCATTGTCCCAACAGTAAAAGTCGTCTTGGCCTTTAGCTGGAAAACTATCCCAAAACATCTTAGTTGGTGTTTTGGCGCTTGTTGAATGTATCCATTCTGAAGAGGTTCACCTTTGCTGCATCTCACTGCCACTGATATGTGCCCATGTTCGTACTTCAAAATGCACCACATCTGAAAATATAACTTTTCTTCATGTATCTGTTATTCATCCCTTAGGTTTGAGTGCCCACTGCAGCCATTTTTTTCTTCATAGCAGCAGTGAATAATTTTTTCTTTACCGACTTTATGCCAACTTCAAGGAGCCTTTGTTGAACAGTTAAAAGAATTAACATTTATGTCAGCTAAAGCCAAATCTCTCTGTAGATCTTTGCTGGTTTTCTTGGGACCCTTCACACTATTTCTCATAACATTGTCATTATTAGGTGTTGTCTTGAGTTTTCTTCCACATCTTCCTTGATGCAGCTCTCCACCGTCACCAGTGTTGTCGGCTCTCTTCAGAATCCAATCAACAGTTAATTTTGATAGGCTTAAATTTTTGGCGATCTGTTTGAAAACAAGTATACAAGATATGATATAGAGTGTAATGACAGTAGTCTGCTGGACTATGTATTGGTAGATAAAAGACTGTTTGGTAGACTTCAAGATGTACATGTTTACAGAGGGGCCACATATATCACATCACGTTTTAGTTGTAGCTACAGTGAGAGTAAAAGGTAGATGGGATACAAGGAAACTGGAAGCAGCAAGTAAGAGAGAGGTGAAGGTGTATAAACAAAAGGAGGAGGCAGTTAGGGTAAGATATAAACAACTGTTGGAGGACAGATGAGCTAGTGAGAGTATAGGCAATGGGGTAGATGTATTGGGTA